CAGCATCTGGAAAATGTAAAAGTTACAGAGAAGCACAGTAGCTGGATCTTTCTAATACACTTACTGGCAGTGAATAATTAAATTTCCTCATTCGTTCCAGAGTCAACATCCAGTTAAGATCAGCTTCTGTTCAGATCATATTCGAAAGGTTATCTTCACAGTCATGATGACTAGAAACTTGTTTTTTTAAATTAAAAAATTGGAATTTCCTGCACTCTTCTGTACAGAGAGTAATTCTGTAGGAACTCAAGCAGCTTCAGAATTGCAGAATACACAGAGCCATATTTATATAACCCAAGTACCCTCAACTGTATCTAATGACAAACACCCTTCTTGGGATGTCTTCTCCCCACTGACAAGCACACGCAAGAGTACCATTGTGACGTTATTGATATAATCTGGGACCATATAGATCATTGTTGCAACCACGGTCCTGTAGTGGCACCCAAATCTTGTATAAAGGGGGTCAAATGGGGTGTCTAAGACAGGGTTATGGTTTACTGGTTATGATTATGCTGTCTATATGTGTGTATCAGTTTTGTAGTTGAAGATATGAATATTGGCTCTATAATGTCTGTATTTCAAACTTATGCTATGCTGCTGGGTGACATCCCAGACAAACTGGTGTTAGCTCTCCTAGCCTGCTTTATGGCCCATTAAGGACCATCAGCTATACAATGGACCCATTGAGAGAAGGCAAATATGCCTTGAGACTCAGCAAAGTATGCAGGAACTAGCCCATGTGACTCCAGACTCCATTTTGCTGTAATTTTCCACGGTAAGGACAAAGAGGTGTTCTTACACCTGGAAAAGACTATATAAGGCTGATGCCTCATCTCCATCTGGTCTTCAATCCTGCTTCATACCTCTGGAGGAACTTTGCTACAAGCTGAAGCTTTGAACAAAGGACTGAGGACCCATCCCAGCGGGGGATGTAGTCCAGAGACTTGATTTGAACCTGCAGTTTATTCTATCGCTGCTGCAAGCCTGAACCAAGAACTTTGCCATTACTGTATGTAATTGATTCCACTTAACCAATTCTAGCTCTCATCTATATCTTTTTCCTTTTATGAATAAACCTTTAGATTTTAGATTCTAAAGGATTGGCAACAGCGTGATTTGTGGGTAAGATCTGATTTGTGTATTGATCTGGGTCTGGGGCTTGGTCCTTTGGGATCAGGAGAACCTTTTTCTTTTACTGGGGTCTTGGTTTTCATAACCATTTGTCCCCATAACGAGTGGCACTGGTGGTGATACTGGGAAACTGGAGTGTCTAAGAAGATTGCTTGTGAGACTTGCGGTTAGCCAGTGGGGTGAGACCGAAGTCCTCTTAGTCTGGCTGGTTTGGTTTGCCTTAGAGGTGGAAAAACCCCAGCCTTGGGCTGTAACTGCCCTGTTTGAGCAATTTGTCCTGAGTTGGCACTCTCAGTTGGGTTTCGCCAGAACCGCATTGTCACAACCATGTGTTTGCCTAAAGGTACAAACCACTTTTCCCACCCCTACCAATTCATTATGATTGTCAATCTGTACTGATAAGAAACTCAGAACCAAATTAGCAGGGGCTGTTGCATGTGGACCCAGAGGACATCTGATATAATCCCCCTTCCCCCCCACACACACAATCACTTGTGGCTCTGAAAGCAATGTGGTGTAAACTTCACTGTCCTATCTCTTACAGATCAATAGAGTCTCGCTAAAGCTGCGAGTTTGTCACAGAAATCATGGCTCTGTGATTTTCCTTGACTTCTGCAGCGGCCGGTGCGGTTGGTTCCGGAGCTGCCTGAGCAGCTCAGGCAGCCCTTGGGCACATCACACTGGCTGCTGCTGGGGCAGTCTTAGGCCACCGCTCCCCCCACCCAATAGCAGAAGGAGGAGTTTGGGTCGGGGAGGTGGGCCTCAGGGCTGGGGGTTGGGGTGCGAGAGGGGGTGAGGGCTCAGGGCAACGCTCTGTAACTGACTGTGAACAATCAATTGAGATAACCCACTACCTTCGGACCAGCCAAGCTTGGGGGGGCGGGGCTCCCTAGAAGTGGTAACATGTCCCTCCCTCAGCTCCTAGCTCTGCACATGTCCTCTGTCCACAGGCACCGCCCCTGCAGCTCCCATTGGCTGTGGTTCCTGGCCAATGGGAGCTGCGGAGCTAGCAGCGCTAGGAGCTTGGGGAGGGACATGTTGCTGCTTCCGAGAAGCAGGGTAGGGAGACTGCCAATCGTGCCAACCCTCCCCATCCCCCAGCACCAGCAGGGGTCCCGGGCTACTCTCACCCAAGCACTCTCAGTTCCCCCCGCGCCGCCCCCCCAGCACTCACAGTGCCCCCCTGCGCCACCCTCCCAAGCACCTGCTGGTCCCCTCTGCTCACCTGCTATCCCCCCCGAGCATTTGCGATGCCCCCCAGGCTGCCCCCCCGAGCCTCTGCAGGCCCCACCCCAGCACCCCCTGACCACCCCTACCCCCCATGACCACCCACGGCCCCCCCGCCAGCACCCGCAGGACTCCCAAGGTTTAGTCAGGGGTATAGTACAAGTCATGGACAGGTCACGGGCCATGAATTTTTGTTTACTGCCCATGGCCTGACCATGACTTTTACTAAAAATACCCGTGACTAAAATGTAGCCTTAACTATCGCCTATCAAGCACAACTGTAAAGTCTTAAGAGTCAGTAAATAGGTTTGTTTTCTCTCTTTGCTAATCAGGTGGAATATGTGAAGCATGGAGCCCTTGGAGCTGGATAGTGCTGGTGCATTTCATGAGCAAAACTCCATTCATGTGCCGACAACAAAGGACTGACCAATCCGTGCCTTCCATCTTAAAAGAGAGCCCAGGAAGTACATTCTATTGAAGAATCTCCATTTGAAAGGGACACAGAACAAGAGCACAGCCACTTATCTTAACAGTCATGGAGGCCACTGGTAACAGCCAGGAGGAGGTATCGACCTGCAGAAATGAAACAGCAGCAGACAAACCCTCTCTGCTAAACGATGCTGTCCGAAACCATTCAATAGATACAGTCCGGCAGCTGTTGAAGGAAGGAGCAGATGTTAATTCCAAGGTAGAAGGTGGTTGGACACCTCTGCACAGCGCTGTACAGGATGATCAGGAAGAGATCGTTGATCTTCTGCTGGAGAAGGGTGCTGATCCGTGTGCTAGGAAGAAAAACGGTGCCACTCCCTTTCTTGTAGCAGGGATAGTGGGAAATGTGAGACTTTTAGAGCTCTTCCTTTCTAAGGGATCAGAAATCAATGAGTATGATGACAATGGTTTCACAGCTTTTATGGAGGCTGCTTGGTATGGGAATGAGGAGGCCTTAAGATTCTTGTACGATAATGGGGCAGATGTGAATTTGCGGAGGGTGGTTAACGAGGAGAAAAGGACACTGAATAAAGGGGGGGCAACAGCCCTGATGGATGCTGCCAGGGAGGGCCACCTCTCAGTCGTAAACATTCTTGTCAGTGAGATGAAGGCTGACATTAACATCTGTGACAACCAGGACAGGAATGCTTTAATCCATGCCTTCCTTCCAAGTGATAACAAGACAAAGGAGTCAATTCTCGCGATAGTTCATTTCCTGCTGGATTGTGGTGTTGATGTGAACAGAAGAGATGAACATGGGAAAACTACCATCATCCTGGCAGTCGAGATGCGAAGTCTGGATTTGGTGAAAGCTTTATTGGAGAAGAATGAAGTTGACATCAATGATGCTGACAGAGAGGGCAAAACAGCACTGATGATAGCTGTAGAGAAAAACTATTATGAAATAGCAAAGCTACTGTGTGAAAGGGGGGCAAGGACTGACCTTGGGGACCTTATTGGGATTGTCAATAGGAAATACAATAAGAAAATGGCAGATCTTCTTCGCCAGTACGGCGCCAAGGCTGTTCCAAGTCAACCTCAAGATTGGGAACCCACCAGCAAACGCTGGGGAGAGCAGCTGAAGGTTCTCTACAACATGTATCGTCCTATGATTGGAAAACTTAAAATCCTCCAACATAATGATTTCAGGATTCAGAGAACCTCCCAAGGGGGCATCTACCTGGGACTCTATGATGGGAAAGAGGTGGCTGTGAAAATATTCCGCATTGGCACAGAAATTGCTAAACAAGAGAAAATGTGCCTTGAACAATGTCTGACCAGCAACCATTTAGTAAAGCTTTTTGGGGCTGAGGAAAAGAAACCCTGCCTGTACTTGTGCCTCTCGCTCTGTGAGAAGAACCTTGAAGAACACCTGAGTGCATCAGAGAATGAAGTGAATTGCAAGTGTGTTCTTAAGACACTCTTTGAGGCAGTTCAAGAACTACACATGTTTGGATTTGGCCATCAGGATCTACACCCACGAAATATTTTGATAGGTTAGCTTGTGTGTTCTTATCATTCTTATTCTATTCTCCTATTGCTCATAGTTGAGAAAGCGAGGCATTATAGAGATGACAGTATATGTCACAATGTAGAGATCTTTATGCACAGAGAGGGTGTGTGTGCATTCGTGCTCATGTAGTACAGCAGCCGTAAGTATCACATTAGTTTTGCCCTCCTACTGAGAGATCAGGTCATCCCACTGAATAATCTACCAGAGAATTCTGGGGTCATGCGAATAATTCAACTAGGTACCAGAGAAAAGGAGCGCAACATACACACAGACAGACAGACAGACAGACAACAGGCTTAACTATTCCTGTTATTTTGTCAGATGCTGCTGGTAAAGTTCGCTTAGCGGATTTTGATAAGAGCAAAAGATTGAGTGAAGGACAGAAGGATGATGTTATAATCAAAGACCTGAAGGTAACTTTCCATTAAACCAATATTATGTTTCCGATTACCCCTCACACCCTTTCTGTCTTTTGCTTCCTTCTTTCTATTCATTTATTTTCTGTGCTTTCTTGGGGCGAATCAGCTGATCTTCCTGCATATTCAAAAGGAAATGTATAACAGGATGGTTTCTGGAAATTCCAATAGCACAAGAGACCACAGTACAAGAAAGTGAGAGTGATTAGGAACGAAGATTTTCTCTGACTCCTGGAAGTCACTTCCTGATTTTGCTGTATGCTTTCAGTGCAGTGGGCTCTCTAATACAAACACTTCATGAAGTGATTGCTGGCATACATGTACACACATGCGTACACACACTGAAGTTTCTCTGTCTCTGTTTCTCTTTGGTGGGAGGTTGTGTGCCCTGGAGTGAAACAGCCATTTCTTCTCATACTCAGGCGCTCAGAAAGCTGGTCCTGTATGTTGTAACAGTGGGTAAGGTCCCCTTTGAGGAAAATCATAGAGACGATTTGGATGCAAGTTGTCCAGAGGATGTGCAGGACTATGTGGAGATTGCAGACCTTAGGAAAAGTCTGGTCTCCCCTGATGAAGGAAGCCCAGTTGAGAACCTGCTGAGAGACTTGATCCAACATCCCTTTTTCTGGAGCAAGCAGACGTAAGTACCATGAATGAAAATTACAGACCCTCAAACAGCAGATTTGCAAGCTGCCCCATTCTGTCAAGAATCAGTGCAGCAGGGCATCCCCAATGTGCCATTGATTCCACAGCAGGTACAGGTTCCTGAGAGACGTTGGAAATGAGAGCGATATCAAAACACGCAACACCAATCCCAACAATGAGAGTGAGATTCTGAAAGCTTTGAATTGTGATGAGCACCCTTTGCAGCAGTGGACTGAGCAGGTAAGCTGTTTTGCTGTGGATGCACAAGGGGAAAGCTTTCTCCTAGGACTTACAGGCCCCATTTTAAACCTTAACTGGAAGTGTAACGCCATCCCTATCCAGACAATGTGGAGGCATAATCTAATCAAATCTAGGAGATTTTAAAACTACCATCACTGTTTGCTGGAGTGGTGTTCCCGGAGCTTCCAGAGAGTGGTTTGTAGACATCGTCCTAGCGACTCGCTGCTTAAGTTGTGACAAGCCTTTTAAATGGAGAAGGCGGTTAGAGTAATTTGCCCTGTGTTGGACTGCAGCTGTGAGGGTGTGCAAAGGGAGGAAAAAAGAGGGAACTTGTTAAAAAGCATTTGAGCTTGGAAGGTGCTTGACTACAATGGCAATGAGTGCAGTACAGAAGAATCTTAGACCTGGTTTACACTTAAAAGTTGTATCTGGGTAAATAACTGTCGGCTAGGGCTGTTATTTTAGCTGATGTATTTGTACTGGTATGAGCCCTAATATGGACACAGTTACATCAGTATAAAGGTGTCTTATACAGGTACAGCCTATTTTGCTTCCAGAACCAGAATAAGCTGTACTGATACAAGGCACTTTTCTATGGATATAACTGTCCACAGCAGGGGATAGGTTGCTGCTTTAATTATACTAATATAGTTAAAGTGGCAAAACTTTCTAATATAGACAAGCCTCTAGACAGCTTTCACTTATTTAACACATTAATATATAAAGACTAGCATAGGCATCCATCCCAGGCCCCATGTGCCTCACAGTTTCAGCACAGTAAAAAACCACAGCTGCACAGTGTACCACCCAGATCCTCTGCCCCAGTTCTGTTCCCTTCAGACCTCTTCCATGGTGTACACAGGATGGAGGGCTGCCCTAATGGAATAACTGAGGATTCCTCTTGGACATAGAAATATCCAGGTGTCATAAAAACAATGTAGTCAGCTCTGACACTTGTTCCTAGCCCCCATGGGGTAGGGAGCATTGCTGGAGTGGAAATGAGGATGGCCAGGGTACTCTGAGCTCTGGGGATCCTCGGACAGTATTGTAGTCCATATGGACCTTTCCAAATAGTGTCACAACTATGAGGGTGGAAAGGTGATACAAAACCACCTTTGTCCCTCTCACCCAGTAGAACTCAGAAACCCCTGAAGATCTAGCGCTAAATCATGATGACAGCCATAATAATAATCATGCCCTTTTATCTCTCAGCCCTGCTTTTCCCCAAATGCCTGTGCAAAGAGAAGGGCATTTGGGAAAGAGATGTGTTGTGTCCAGAAGATTAACAAATCCACACCCTGGCGAACCCAGTGAAGAATCAAATTCCAGATCCAGGGCCTTTATGGTGAATGGCCTGCCATCAGCTCTCTTCTGTTTAAATCCGGGTATTCCAACTGGAGTGGCTCTGCTGGGGACTGAGGAGATGTGAGAGGGCGGTCTGCCCCTTTAAGGGCCAAGAGGCCTGTTCAATTAGCCCTGGGTGTTGGACTTGAAAGGAGGAAAGCCCAGCAGTTGAGGGCTGTCTGGGGAGAAGAGTGGACAGGCTGCTCCTACCTGAGGGCAGGAAGCCTGGTTGAGGGCCAGGAGCTGTCTAAGGACTGTAGCTGGCCAGAGCCCTTTGTAGCAGGGTGGGCCTGGACTGTATTGTTGGGTTGACCAGGGCCAAAGTAACCATTGTAGGCATTGAGACAGCCCCATTGCAGTTGGGGCCCATCTGCAAGGAAGGGGGCTGGAGGTTGAGCCCAGCTGGGCTAAAGATTCCTTTGTTTTAAGTTGTCCTTTGTCTAAAGGACTCTTTTACCCCAAAGGGGTTGAACTCTCTAAGGGGGCTTGGCCGGAGGGCCTAGTCATAGCTAAGGCTGGAGTAGGCTGAAGAGCATGGTGGGGAAGCTGAGACAGAGCTGTTGCAAGGCAATGCTGCACCGAGAGGGGGTGCTCTGGCACGGTAAGTCTTGCATGGGAGATCTCTCTAATTTATTTGCAACTTTAAAGGCTAAAATTAGCACCTTGACACCACCTGGAAACTCTCAGGCAACCTGTGAAACTTGCAGAACCCTGGTATTACGTGCTGTTGGCATGTTCTGCTGAACAAGCAGCTGCATTTTCCAAGTGGTCTCTAGATGTAGTCACATGCAAAGTGCATTAACACAGTCTGTCGTCAAGGTACCAAAGGCCTGAATGTGTGCAGCAAGGCCTGCATCCCAGAGAAAAGGCCACACACCATACTGGGCACAGATGGCAAAACGTTTTCTGATAGCTAGAACTCCTCCAGAAAGGTTAATACTTGGTCTGCCTTAAACCAAGACAACATTGACTCAACCCTATAACTTAAAGGGCCTGGTATCACAGTGCTCTGCAGCATGGGTCAGTGTCAATGTGCAAGGAAAGGGGGAGACTTAGACTTCTCCCACTGCATATACCCTCTTCTTGGGTTCTTCCTGAAATGAATTGCCCCAGGGCCCTCTGCACTAGAGTGGGGCACCCTTCCTAGCATCTGGAGAAAGCAGGGGTTTTGGCATGTTCAGACACGCTTCTCATTTCCATTACAGATGTGAAAACACCAGAGATGCAGCCCTTAGTCATAAAAACACAAGTGAAGGTTTTTGGAGTTTCCTACTGCACATGCATATAAAATATATGTACCGTTATTATATTGTTCGCCAGCAGCAAATGCTCTCCTACAGACTGAGAAGGTCTTTTCCTTTTAAATTGTCCTCTGAATTGTTCCCGGCTTTCTTATAATTTCCTTTCTGAGTTGTGATGAAACAGCACATACGTGATCTCAACTTATTAATATTTCTTTTTTGGAGAGCTGGAGAGCCATGTTTGAGTTATATGCATGTGAAAGAGTAGACTTTCTGTTTTTTTAATCTATTTTTCCCTTTGCATGCAGATAACAAAAACCAGATAAAACCATAGAAATTTTGTATGCTGTTAAGCATACATTTTAATATAAGTGCCATAAAATATTGCTTCATCGATGAGAAATTTGTGTGCATGATATTTCTGCAGAGTGAGACCGCTGCAGCCAGGGGAGGCTGTATTTTGTGATGTGTGAATGGGATGGAATAATCCAGAGTGTTTATTTCAGATTGACAAATTGGTTCTGGACAGCATGTTCAACCCCTTCAACAACAACAGGAAGAACCAGAACAAGAACAAGAAGAAACAGTATGAAAACTATGTCACGGACCTACTGAAGTTCATCAGGAACATGGGCGAGCACTTTGATGAGAAGAAAGAAAAGTAAGTGATTGCTTCACAGTCTGTGCCAAGGATGAACAGTCCCTGGGAATCTTTGTCTGACTGTAAAAGGCTGCGAGTCCCGGTAGGTTTAAAACAGGAATCCCGTCTTCAAAAGGACATGCTACCATTCTAGGAGGGTAAAAATATGGAGGGTGTGGGAAAAAGAGCGTTTCCCGGTACCCCAGCATGTTATAAACTAAAGCGTGTCCAGGTTATGAAGGATAGCTCCTCCGGCAGCACAGTGCTGTGTACTTGCACAGAATAATGTTATTTGGATAGAGTGTATCATATTATGCAGTCACAATACTAAGTGCCAGGCTGGGTACTCTAGATAACCCCAGGCTCACCACCCAAAGGCAGTTTACATGATCAAGATGCTTCTGGGAACTAGTTTTTGCTTCCAGATCATCACTGTGATCACCCATTGATCAACAGCTCTTGTTCCGTGGGGCCATTAGCCTCTCCTCCCATCCACAGAGGAAATTCGTTTCCCAAGTTCAGTGGTGCTTTTAGCCCATGCTCCTCTGCCCACTTTGCGGTGAGGAGTCAGGCTAAATTACTGCAGTGCTGATAGTCCTCCAAACCCTCCCACGTGGGCCCAGAAGGACAGACAAGTTCTCCCACAACTCACTGGGGAAGAATCGTATTGCAGCTCTGCTTACTGCAGCACAAAGAACCATAGGATATGATTCCAGAAGTCCTAGCAACACACAGCGGGAAGTGCAACACCAGTGAGAACACAGTAACAAAGTGTGTTTTGCCATGTGGCTGCAGTGCTCACACCCTGTCTAGGCTAAGCCAGGTTCCAGTCACCCATGTTATCTCTGCAGTGAAGACATGCCCTATTAAGGTGCTTTGATGCTTGGACTATATGAGGATTTAGGAAATAGGATAGTGGGAGAGAATGGAAAAGGCAGAATGTGTCAGATCAGAGAGAGAATGGATATTAATCATTTCTAGAAAATTCTCTCTTGTTTTCAGAAAGCTGCTGAAATGGCTTTCACTCTATAGGGAAAGAAATGGGGAAACCTGACCATTTGTTCTGATTCTTTGACACGTTTTAGCAGGGTAGGCTTCCCAAGTGAAAAATCAATTGTTGTTCTTCTATTTCAGGGTCAAGGAAATAATCAAGGAGCCCTCGGAGTATTTCCTGAACCTATTTCCAGAATTGACAGTTTATGTCTACAAGTGTTTACGCAGCATACAGCATCATAGACATTTTCCAAGCCCTCAGAGTCTTTCTCAGCTGTAGCATGTTGTATCACTTCAGGTTATATGGCTGAATCCCATTGACTAACTTCCTTTTCAGCACCATTTCGTTCAGCTGCCAAAAAGTGTCATACAAAGTGGGGAAGGGGCTGGGTGGGCAGAGGGTATTGGAATTTCAGTCAGTGATTCTGATCTCTGGATTCAGCATTGAAGCACTCAGCTGTAAAGATGCTATGTTTGAGTGGGTTCATGGAGGACAATTACATTGAGGAAAGGAAGAACTAAGTGCTAGAAGGGCAAGTGCCAGGTCTGGGGCTGCAGGATAGGTGCCGCTCCTCCAGCAGGTCCAGGCTGGGGGAGGGGCACCCCAGCTGCACCTGGGTGCAGGCCGCACCAGACCAGGCCATGCCTGGGTCCAGGCCAGGCCTGGGGCCGGGTCTGGGCCGCACCGGCCGCACCTGGGGCTGAGCGCCATGGCAGGTCTGGGACGCAGCAGAGTTTGGGCCGGCAGAGGGGCGCCCCTCACCCAGCTGCGGCGGGTTCCCTAAGCACCCGTGCATCACTAAATAGGCTGCTGCGCGGCCGTGCAGCTTACAGGGAACTTAGGTCAGGACCCCTTCCTCTGTTCAATGGCTGCTTCCTTTCTCCCTTCTGGTGCAGTTAATTGATGGACAGAGAAAGAGGGAGCAGGAGGGGGTCCGTTGGAGCATTTAGTCCTTCCTTCTATCGTTGAGTCCCCCTCTTGGAAAACATTTCCAGCTGATATTCAGGAGACACAGTGTCTATATGTCAGGATATTCCCTGCTGGTTTTCCCAGTCCTTTGTCTCCCTTCCTGCTTGATGGCCCTGTTTACTGCTAAAATGCAAATTAAGCGGAGCGCACGTTCTTTTGTTTGAGACAGACCTGTTTGCAAACCACAATTTGGAACATGTGTTAATTACACGATTTCCCTGTAGGATGTAACTGCACATATGATGTTGCCACACACATTTTATTAGGACAATATTGACCAGCAACTTATGGGTCTTCAAATGATACTTACAAGACATACCTTGTACAAAGATTATTACAATAGGGTGTGGACATGGGTACATTCTATCACACTGCCATCCTGTACCTGTGCTGTGTATTCACTGTCAGGCTTGGCTTCCCTCTCACCTGAGGAGGCAGTCCTTTTGTTCCCATGGACTCTGCCCACCAATCCCAGTTATCAAATAGGCTGGCATTTTTTTGTTTAAAAGCATAAAAGACAACTTGCTGTGAGGGGAGTCCTAGCTTTGACGCCAGCATTGGCTCTTTAATCTTTCTTCCCCAGAGAGCAGCTTTCCAGCTCTCTCTTGAGATCTATCTTTGTAGTGGGGATTGAAAACTAACTAAACTGGGCCTTTCTCTTTTAAATGTTGCAAACATAAATACCGGTAACAGCTGGATGAGTGACAGGCCCAGGTATACAGCTGTATAGTTGTTTTATAAGCAGTTGTTTCACTAGAAGTTGTAGAGACATTTACGAGGTGTATTTAATGCATCCAGTTGGTAATCTCATACATTTTCATTTTAATGCTACATCATTATGAGAGTCTGGAATTATTTCTATGTGGTATGGAAACCAGGGAGCTGATCTTGCAAAATTGTAAGTAACACTGAATCCTGTGAGTAGGCTCTCTGAAGCCAAAGGGAGTACTGGCATGAGTAAGTATTACTTATGTAAGTAAGGCTTTGCAGAGTCAGTCCCCAGATTCAGCACAGCACCGGTGCGGAAGCTTTGATGCGTGGGGGCTGGCAGGAGTGAATATATTTTCCTGTATCTATTCACAATACACATATCGATGCTTATGACATGTAATCTGTGCAGTTAAATGCCTGCAGCGTTCTTTGCTTTTTCAACTGTACCTGCTTTCTCCCCTATCTCATATACACAGTTATTGGATTTGTTTGTCTTTTACACTGAGATTTTTGTCATCCGTATTCCCAGATACAGATCTAAATCTGGAATAAACTAGGTTGGACAATCCATTCTTATTGCATCTGAAGATGAATAGAGTATAGTGTAGATCTCTGTATAGAAGGAGAGTTAGTAACAAGTGGGCGGGTTACAAGGCCATTTAAATCCCCTAGCACTCCTGTGGGGGTAAATTGGGCAGGGAGGATGAAGCTCAGCACCTACTCAGAGGAGGCCCTTTCAACACTCTGAGTGGGAGTCAAGGTTCAGTTGCAGAAAGGGAAGGGAGAGGAAGACTGTGATGTGACGTGCCCCCGTCCCACGAGTTGAAAGTCTAAAGCATTCCTGCACTCAGGCAGCACCAATTAGGCACACCTGCAGAACATGTTCCACCCAGAGAAGTGGACCTTAAAAAGGGTGAGACTGGCCACAGAATAGGGGCGGGGAGAATAGGGTGAGACTGGTCACCGAATAGGGAGGCTGCCAGGTTTGCTAATG